ATTTTTTTTCAGCTGCAACATAGCTTCATAATTACCCTTTTTAATAGTTCCAAATATTTAAATATTTCTTTGATAGATTGTTACACAGTTTAATTCACCATTCTCCTGTTATGAGCATTTAGATTGCTTAACTTGGGCTCATGATCATAGAACAGATTATGTTTACCTTGCAAGACTTTATTGGTCTTTTTCTGGACAGCCCATCATTTTTCTTAACTCATCTGGGTCTTGTCAAAATTTTAAATGTTTTTAGTCATTTTGCTAGTGGCTTTATTGAGATTAGACATGTTTATATAATCATAGGGGATTAAATATGTGGTATCAGGCACATGCTAATCATTGCACCAAAGCACCTATTTCAAGTACAGGTCCTGGTCAGAGCAGATCAGTTTGCATGGAAAACGGTGCTTTCAGAATCACCTGGGAGCAGTTCCCAAGTCCCAGAAAAACCTGAGTCAGGGATGCACGACCCTGCTCTGGCCAGTAGAGGTCTCTATTTCATTCACCCTTACTGTAGGTTTTTGCTGAATGGAACCGGGATTGGGAGCAAACTGGGAGGGAGGCTGTCACCCTGCTCACTCCTCCCCACCTCTCCACCTGTTTCATGATTCATAGCATCAAGGTCACTCAAACAGGAGTGTGGATTGATTCTAAACACTCTCTAACAAATCTGTTTGCAAAGTGGAAATTGTACTGAAAATAATCTCTCCAGAGTCTAAGTCTTTTCTCTTTAAATAGCACCATACTCTCAAACTAAAATCTGTATTACTGAGTCATAACAACTAATTGCATTGGAGGTGAGAAGACAAGATTTAACGCTCTAATGCGATTTGAATTTAGGCTGTTATCTCATCCCACTGCTATTTAAAGCAAAATCGCTTTTCTATGAAGCATCTGCAACTAAGGATGGCTTCAGAGCTTAAGTCTGAAGACCTCCCTGGCAACTTAATGTTCCTGTTTTAGCTTCCTGAGAGGTTTAATCCGCACATTTGGATTTTCTAGATTGTTATAATGAAGTGCATCACTTTCTGCTTTGGGATTTGATAAAAACAGCACTAGGAAGTTGGGAAAGTCTATTATTTTTCATCAGGAATTTTATAGGTGTGTGAGGTGAGTTATTGGAAAATCACTAATGTCATTTCAAAACAGAAAGCTCAGGGCCAAACATTTGATGTGTGATTTCATGTCAGGTTGCCACGCCCACACCTCCTCTCAGGGAGTTTATGGACAGGTCCCGGGTGGGTAGCAGGTCTGGGGAAGTAGCTGAGAAAATCCCAGTGGTTTTCTGAGGAGACCGGACCAGGCCCTCAGAAGCATCTCTGTGATTGCCAGAGACTGCTGGGACAGAATGTTCTGGACCTGCCTGGGTAGACAGGCACCAACCAAGAACTGCCTGGTTGGGAAGGAACTGCTCAGAACCCTGGAGAAGAGCACCCTTGGGTGTCTGGAGTCCTGGGTCAGAACCTCTACAGGTACTCTCCCCTGGATGACTCTGAGCTGAGCGCTGAATTCTGGAGTGTTCTGAAATCTGGAAACTATTCTACCTATGTAAGATAATGGACAGATCCTTCCAGAATTGGGTGTTAACCCTGACAGTGCAGGAGTAGCTCAGGGGCCAGGCTGCACACAGGTCTCAGTGTGAACCTTCTGCAGCCCCACTACCTCCGGGCCGGGGCCCCCAGGGGCTGAGGGATCTCACATGCCCTGTGTTCTCCTTCCTTCTCTCTCCCTCTGCCCGCTAACAGGCCCCACCAAGTTCTCCTTCCACACCTGCTTCAGCCCTCCAGACTCCACCTAGCAATCCCATCCTACAGAGCTCCCCTCCCCCAAGGTGGGCCCCTCCTCCCCCATGGTCCTTTCCCACCATTTCCATGGTGAGGGCAGCTGAAGGCCTGGCATGTTCCGGCCTCAGTGTCCTCTGAGACTGTGCCCCGAAGCCAGTCACTGTCCTGCGGCCTGGATTCTGGCCGCCTTGTTTGCTTCATCCACATGATGGGTATAAGAGAACGTACCTGCCCAGCCGTGCAGAGCTGGGCCTGTTTAGGAGGGAGTCCAACAGGTACCCCCAGGCCTAGAGCCTGCCCCAGGACCTGGCAGGCCTCAGGATCTAGGGGGCTGGGGGAGGGGCTCCCCTGTGGCTGGCCCCACCAGGGACAGGTTCCCCAGTCCTCTGCTCCTCATCACCTCTCTCCATACCCACGTGGTCTTGCTCCAGAGGGTACCCGGGCCACATCCGACTCTTCTCCTCCCCTTCTTTGCACTCCAGCCCTGTTTGACTTGCTTGCCAACACGATCACCCTGGCTTAGGGGGAATTCTCCTGCTTTCTCTGCCACCGAGTCTCCCTCCGAGTAGGAAGGAAGCTAGGAAGGAGTTCTCTTCCTTTTGTAATGGAGGTAAGTAACCTTGTTTATAAGCTTATGTAACTTCCAGGGTGCGCTATAGCCCCACATCTGTGCACATCACGGCATCATCCCCACTAGAGTCTTTTCCACCCACTGGCCTGCCGGTGACCCCTTCACTGCCTGGTCCTCCGTTCTGCGCAGCAGCTTAGAGCCCAGCAGGCGGCTGGAGCCAAGTAGGTGCTCAGTTAGCTCCAGGGGGAAGCACGAGTGCGAATCTGTCTCTAAACCGGTGCCTGGCAATTGCGCTGCCCGAGGCAAGGAAGCCCAAGCCCCCAGGCTGAGGGCTCTTTCCCCTGGGAGCCCGCCACCGCTCTGGGTTCCCGTCCCTCGCCAGCCTGTCAGTCCTCTCCTCCAGACCCCATCCCACCCGGGCTCCCAGGGCGCGGGGCCGCGGGGTGGGCATC